AAAACAACAGTAAAGTCCAGGACACAAATTCTCTTTTGCACAATAGATAAAAATCACCAACAACCTTCACCTTATAGGCTTGACTGAAAGAAAAAGATACATACTGATGGCATCTATAGTAGGACACCAACCAGACAATATGTACTTTGTGGACTTTTAAGAGTCAGAATAAGCCAACAGAAAGGGGATAAGAGGTGAGAAGCATATCTGATCCCAGTCAACTGTGTAAAAAACGACAGTATAAATAAAAATTTGAAGCACCTTAGAGAAGAAAAGGATTTAATAAAAAGAAAGCCTAAAGCCTCAAAAGGCACTGTCAGCTCTATAGAGCACCAGGAAGATTGTAAGGAAACAGGACCCACTCCAGAAGCTGCTGAAAGACGTTGTGTGACAAGAAGGAGGAAAAGTAAGAAAGGTAGGCCAAGGAAAGGCTCAGGAAAGTCTTTTCTGACAGTCTCACAATCTAACATTCAAGAATGATGACAGAATACAGGTGATGGATTTTAGCCAGGAAAAATATCACTGAAATGTCACAAGATCAACTTCAATGAAAAGGAAAAAACCAGGCTAGCAGAGAGGAGAATGTATGTCAGAATTATTAGACTACTGCAGGCAAAGCCTGAGACTCTAGCCTGAAATGGGTAGAAAGTGAAGGAAAGGCATTAGCTGGATTAGCACTGACTGCTTTATTATTTTTTTTTAATTAAAAAATACCCTTATTCTACATATTAGTAGAATATAAGAAATGCTCCTCAGCTCCCACCCATTCCTGCAGGGCCTGTCTGAGTTTGACTCACTTCAAGATGAAAGCTCGTATTAAAATCATACCAAAGACCTTAACATCTTCATTAAAATATATAACTCAAATTCTGTATAGCCAACTTCCAAACATCCTGAGCAAGTCTAAACAAAATTCAACATAAAACATGTTTTTGCACATATTCTCTTTGAACTTAACAAAAAATACAATCAGAGAGAACAGATCAAGGCTAAGGTCCTGAAATATTTTTATATGAAAGATAAGAGTTGCATTAGATAATACAGACCAGCCTGATACCCATCCACTGCCCTAATCTATAGATGTGTTTTGAAGCTGAGTGCCATTTTACGTCAGAGTTACATGTGATATTGACACAGCATTGACATCTCTGAGCACTGATTAGATGACAGCAGGACTGAATCAAGGAGAACTTAGCAAAACTGCCAAAACAGTGCCTTCCAGAAGTCAAACCCCAGCATTTTTGCCTTTCCAAAAATACAACTACAGTTTGAAACATAATGACTATATTACAAACTGGACGCAAGTTTGGCACCACTATGTACATTTCTAGCATATTTTCAGAGAGACACATAAAAAGCATATTAATTTCATTTTATAAGTGTTTACTATGTACGCATGTTAAGTTGCCTAAACGCATTAATTATAATCTAAATGAACAAAGCACCTTCATTACATAAATTAATAATACTTATGCCTCAAAGTATAAATTAAAATTAACTTCTAAGATTCAGTCTAAAACTGTCCAGTCTAAAAAAAATAAAGAATACAATAATCCACACATTTATTTACACGAGTACGGTTTCAAAATTTACTCGTCTTTCTTATCTCAGGAAACACCCTACTATTTTAAATAAGTGTTAACAATTCAAAGTACTTGAATGTATGCAGAAACTTTTGCTAAAAAGTGGCCAGAGGCTGACAGTTCCCTCCCCTGCAATTTTCATGTTCTAAAATTTGTTTTTGTTCTCCCCTGGAACAAAATCAAACCACTCCATATAACACAAAACCAGAACTGTCAAAACTTCTCTTTACAGATCAAACTAAGCTTTCCTATTTAAGAACTATGAACTTCTAGAGATTCAAATGCCTGCTTGAGTAAGCCCAGATCAGGCTTCCATATCTAAATAGGATGATTAAAAGTGCTCTAGAGTAACAATAGGGGGTTTTTGTGTTAGGTTTTTTTTTGTTTATTTACTTTTAACTTATAGTAGCCTAATTCTTTGTTGCTGTCTGCTAATGAAATGTCCTAATTATTAGGTTGCACAGTGAGAAGTCCTTCACTCTTTCTCAGCTTTAAAGAAACAACATACAGCACCAACATTTCATTACACTGGAATACTTTCAACCTGGTCTGCTTTAATGACATAGATGAGACTACCAATTTCTTGTCTTTGAAGTAAAAAGTTTCAGCCTTATTTATAGCATGAATGGTAGAAGCTTAAGGATTTTCTTGTCACTTGCTTATTAAAACTGAAAATAAAGACAAAAGACAGTTGTTGGGAAAAATAAGATGTCATAAATCAAAGTCAAAATATGATGACGCCAGTTCATCTTCTCTTTTACCAAATGATTTATCAGAAAAGAACCTAGAGGAAATGAAATCTAACAGTCAACTTTCTGTTGCATGAAATCTATTGCTGGGCTTCTTAATTTACTAAAAGGCACTCAAACTAATTATCTGGATTTTGGCCCTAAAGAAAAAAAAATTAGTGAAGTCCTGGATTCTCTTCTTCTTGATAAGGTAATGCTTCATTCACAGCAGGCCACGCTGCAACAACAGAGCTGAGGAAGACTGTGACATTCTCATGCACAGCTAAGGTACCATGAGCACTGTCCCCATAACTCCTCCAAGCTCCAATGGGGCCACTGTCCTCCAAAGTCAGGGAGTTGGATGTTGCACATCAGGACGCTGCAGGGGCCAAGTGCAGACCACTACCAAATCCCCCTACACATTACTGGATTTCAGTGCCTTGAAATCATATTACTGGGAGAAAGAACAGGTTCCGATGAAACATCAAAAATGTCAAACACTAAAAGCAGGGCACGTAAACCAGATCAGCTACAACAAGCTGAACAAGTGCATTTAGTTACCTCACACTTTCCCCTTGACACCTGTCTAAGCCGTGTTTTAGACACATTGTACCTATAGCTGATCTAGAAGCTGCCTTGATCATGAGAATTACAAAGTTAATCAAGTGGTAATAGTTTTCCATACAGTCTATCCTTCCTTAAAGTGCACATAAACTCTCAAATAAATACAGCTAAATATTGTGGGAGGAGTGTTGCATTTCTTTCGAGACATTTTAACAGGCAAAAAAATGAATAGCTTATGGTCTTCACTCCATTCTCTGTGCACTAACCTTATTGAATCCTTGATTTTCAAGACTATTTCATTTAGTGACTTAGAATAATTTACTTTTCATCTTCCACCTCCAATACCGAAATCAGCTTCTTTTATTCCAGCGCCACTGGGACTTGAAAAGGATTTTTCTTAAAATTAATGAAAATGCAAACCATTTGCACCAGAAATCGTCATCACCATTATAACTTGAGATTGCTACTAAAGGAACAGAAGCCCAGGATAGTAAAAGACAATTGGACTGGACAAAAAAAACCCCACAAAACCACAAACAAATAAACAAAAAAAAAAACCCACAAAACAAACCACAAACCAATAAAAAACCAAACTCCAGCCTCTGTTGCTAAGTAGAGGACTGGGAGAATTGTCTAGACAGAAGTCTGAGGAATCATCTTCTGACTTGGAGGCTACAGTCAGGAGTCTAAAAGGGGGCTTGGAGTATCTATAGTAGAGAAGAGAAGTAGTGAAGAGTCAGTCAGATTTACTGGAAGCTTTCAGTGACCTTTGGTGTTTGAGGAGGATTTTCAGGAGCTAAGCAAGTCTAGGAGGACTACAACAGCACAAGCCAACAGCTTAAGGAAAACAGTAGAAGTTTCCAAGCACCTGAGGATAGGATCTGTAGGAGGGAGAGGTTATGTGTTGCATGAGAGGTTGTGGGAGATACTTCAGGTTGCTTCCCACCCCACAATCCCCCTTCCTCCCACGAAGGGGTTCTCCAAAATAAGTGACTGTTCTCCCACAGGAGAAGATGCTATTCATCCATATGAATCTTCACAGCTGCTGTCAAACTAGAAGCAAGAGCTAGGCTTCTTCTGTTTACAGTGCAGGGGAAAAGGCAAGGCAAGACTAAACTGGTGATTTTGGCTACTGGAAGATGGAGAGAATAACTGCTGTGACTGGGAGAGGCTGCTCTTCAGCAGTAGCCACACATGTTGACAACCCATAGCACTTGTCAACCAGGAGCTCAAGCAGGGAGTAGTTTATCCAAACACACTCCAGCTCTTCCAGCAAGCCAAGCAAGACAAACATGGGGTGGGAAGTTGAGTGGGCTTTTGTAACTTCCTTTGAATAGAAACCTCACTGGTTTGCAACCCCGGGCAACTGCTTACTTCAGATATGCAGGTGTCCTGCAACCTCTCATACAACATCTAAAGATAACCTGTGGCAACAGAAGATCAGTTCAGCAACAAAGCTGTATCACGCAGCATAACAGGCTTCCGAGCTGGACGGATGCCTAATTGCTACCAAGTTTTTGAAAGCAAGTCAACAAACATTTTTTCAGTTGTTTTGCCTGATATTCAACAGATACCCTTCCTTTCAGGTTGTATTTGTTAGGCGACCAACACTTTGAGAAGGTCTCTTGGTATTTAACTCATTATTTAACAATTAAAGCTTTCAAACAACATTGCGGCTGATTAAGGATAGCCAGCTACTATTACTGAAACCATAGAAAAAAAGCAATCGTGCCAAAATATCAGTGCTCTACACAAACACGGAAATGAAGGTATGTTCTTAAACATCCCTATCTAATGTATTATGCTTTACAGATGGGTTGCAGTACCCCTGGCTAGGGCTGGGAGAGAAAGCACCCTGTGGTATGAAGCCACCGGAATGAAGGACAGCAAGTCCCAGCAATGCCGGAGGCCGGCTGCTGGAAGGAAACAGAGGAGGATAGGCCACTCAGCACCCCAAAAATCGGGTGACAGTCGCACGATCCGCGCAAACACTCTCAGCTCGACCAGCGCCAGGCTGCCGGCACATCCAAAGTGGGAAAAGTGATTACTCATGCCGCCGGAGAGGAGGGTAGCGGGAGCGGGGCCGAGCCTCCCGACCCCTCCGAGCCGGGCTCCGCGCTCCTACCTGGGGGGCCGCGAAGGCGGCGGCGGCGGCTGGCGGCGGCCCGCGGGGATGCGTCTCCTCCTCCTCGGGCGAGTCGTCCAGCAGAACTTTGCTGCTCTTGTTGAGCTTCCACATGGCGGGCACGGGGGCGGCGGCTCCCGCCCCGCTGGTCCCGGCAGCGAGCGGGCCGAGGGGGAGCGGCGCTGCCTCCGCAGCCCCGGCCGGGGCGGCTGCGCTCGGCAGGGCTGTCACCCCGCCGGGGGCTCCCGGGCCGGGAGGAGGGAGGAGCTGCTGGCGGCGCCGGGAGCCCGCCCCTCACCGCCGGCCTGCCGATGGAGTGGGGAGCGCGGACAGTCCGCGGGGCGGGCAGGGCAGGGCCGGGCCGGACCGGGGCGCCGTGTCCCCTCCCCGCCGCGCCGCTCCTCACCTGCCGCCGCTCCCCGCCGGGGCCGCCGCCGCCGCTGCCATGTTTGCGGGGCGGGGGCACGGGCAGGGGCGGCTGCCCGTCATCACCGCGGCAACCGCACCGGGCCCGCCGGCGGAACCCGCGCCCTGGCCCCGCAGCCTCCCGCAGGCACGGCAGGGGTCCCGGGGATAAGGACCGTCCTAGATCCGGCGGGTGTTGTGGAGGGTGCGGATGGCACTGCCCGAGCAGCGGGGGCCGCAGGGTGTTCGTCAGAGCAACGCCGGGCACTTTGAGGTGAAATCGGACCTATCTGGGTTCTGAGGGTAGAGGCACCCGCAGAGGGCCATAGATGGCCCGACATCACTGGGTATGGTCCTGGCGTACCCACCCGTGTACCCGCCCGTGTACCTGCCAGTGTACCTGCCAGTGTACCTACCAGTGTACCTGCCATTTTACTCACCCGTGTACCTGCCAGTGTACCTGCCCTTGTACCTGCCAGTTTACCTATTCACGTACCTGCCAGTTTACCCACCGGGTACTTGGCAGGGTACCTGCTGGTTTGCCCACCCGTGTACCCACCAGTGTAACAACCAGCAAACCCCCACGAGTCTCCTGGGGTGCCTCTCAGGAAGAGCAGGCTGCACAGCCATACCCCACAGCCTGGACCACATGCCTTCTTCCCTTGTCCAACAGAGCCCTGCGGCCAGGGTGGAAAAGCCTGGTGCATCCAGGTGGAGTCCATTGAGTACTAGGAGCTCCCAGTTTTATGGCTGAATGATCCAGATTTAGTGCCCTGTGTACCTGCTGCTGTGTTTGTCAGTTCTTAGTTTTCAGACAGATGTGCTAGGATACTTTTCCACTAAAATCCCCATCCTTTATGTATTATTTTGAACAATGAGTTAGGGTCAGATGTCCAAAGAACTGGGAAACTATTTTAAAACACAATTTTTGGTTGTTCTGCTTGATTAACATTGCTGTTATTTCACTAGTGAAAGGCCATAACCCTCAAAGACCCCTCATGACAGACTTGCAAGTCTTACTTTAACTGCCTGATCTCCTCGGGGCCTGGCAGCAGCAATGCCTTGCTGAGGGTGGTTTTGGCTGCAATGTGCTCCTACCTGCTTAACCGGAAAAAAACTCACCCAGGGGCTGGAACAGCAGCTCCTTCGGGCCAGCTGGTCCATGTGCTGTCTGCTGCCTTTAACTTCCAGCATGTGGACACCCACAGAGTGGAGATTTGCAAATCAATGAAAAAAATAGTTTTTCTGTCATAAAATGTCCTTATCTATAATCACTAACTTCAGAGGTATCATGGTTTTAACTACAAACTCACTTTTGTATTGATTGAGGATTTCTGTAATGACTTAGGAATGCTGTGTAGCTAACTATAATTTATTAGCTAACTGCACAAAAGACACATTCACTTGAACCTGAAATCATGGAATTCACACCAGTGCAATTTTAACCCTCTGTCTTGAAAATGAGCTTCACAAAATTATATCAATGTGCATAAAGCAAGTGCACAAGTGTTTGGAGGACTGTAAAAGCCTTTAGTTTTGCAATAAGTTTTCAAACAAAATCTTCTTTATGTCATTTATCTATCCCTTCTCTTGCAAGACTAAAAGCTACTAAAATGTGAAGCACTGAATTTCCTTTCACATCTTGCATTAATATTAACCAAATCTCAAGAGGGTAGGAGACAAAAAACATTCTCAAAGACAGATCAAGTTTAGCATAGGTTTCCGCTAGAAGACCAAGTCAGTTTTGTAACTAGTTCTTTAACCTCTCACTCCTTCAAATGTATAAACAAAAATAATCTAATTTATTTTGCCACATTTGGGCAACTCTAATTAGTAACCAACCTATTTATTCGATTTGAGTTCTGTATTTAAACCTTGAAAAGACCAAATAAGTTATTAGTCACTACGTGACCCTACCATTTTAATCCAATGCCTTCTTTATGCTATTTTCTTTTGATTATCTGAAACACCAGCTCTACCATTAGGCTTAAATCCCACAAATACTTATGATTCTGCTCAGTTTTAGTCTCATTAAGAAATCTACACAACATTCCCAATACACACAAAATTAACTGCATACCTTTGGTCTTTTTTATTTTTATTAATTTTGATTTTTTTCCCCTTAGGTTTTCTCCTTAGATCTTGAACTTTGGTGTGAAATCCTGGCTTTACTTCTGTCACTGAAAATCAGTCCAGTTGACTTCAGAGAGGTGAGAATCTCAGTTCAGATGTTCTGTTTGTCTTCAAGACCCCAGGGCATGGCTGAGCACTATCTCTTGTTCTTTAGAGAAGAGTGTTATTTTCTGCTGATCTGTTCTACAGACTTTGGGCTTACAAATTTATTATTTCCTTTTAAAATTAATTATATTCATCTAATCAAAAGAATTTTTTTTCCAGATTCAGAAACTGACATCCGCTGACTGGATCTGCCTAGGGTGAAGAAGAACACACAACACTTAAATACAAAGCTTCTTCCTCTAAGTAACTACATTGTCATGTATCCCTAAGATATATGCAGGGGAAGGCTCTAAAACCCTGTTTGAGAAGCTTCTTGCATAGTATTTAAAATGTTATGAACATCTTTATAAATATCATTATGAGGAAAAATTGATGATTCTACTTCTGAACTCTGATCCCGTCTCCCTTAAGGGAGCACAAACAGAGCTGGAGGAAAAAAGATTGAGCAAAGTAACAGAAAATGCAGCCTTTGTCTCTTGACTGCTGTGGAAGACTGAGCTGTTTTGAAAGTAAAACCAGACAACATGGCTTTAGCAGCCACTTCATGACCTGGCAAAGCATTATGCTACTGAAAATCTTGTTTCTTCTTTGCTTTTTTACTCCAGGCTCTCACCCAGGAAAGAAAAGGGTGGAGTTCTTTTGCTGGAGTAAACCAGACTCTCAGGAGACAGAGAGCAAAAAAGGGAAAGGTAAAGGGCAGTACAGAGATGATACCAAATAACTCCATGACACTTAATGACTTTAGCATACTTTAGTGACTCCGGGCTGCAGGACCTTTGTATGTGGCCATGCTTTCAGGTACACACATAATCACACACAATCAATTAGATTGGAAAAGACCTCTGAGATCACCAAGTCCGACCTATGACTAAACACCACACTGTCAACTAGACCATGGCACTAAGTGCCATATCCAGTCTTTCCTTAAACACCTCCAGGGACGATGAGTCCACCGCCTCCCTGGGAAGCTCATTCCAATATGTAATCACGCTTTCTGTGAAGAAATTCTTCCTAATGTTCAACCTAAACCTCCCCTGGTGCAGCTTAAGACTGTGTCTTCTTGTCCTGTTGGTAGCTGCCTGCGAGGAGCGGCTGACCCCTACCTGGCTACAGCCTCCTTTAATGTAGTTGTAAAGAGCAGTAAGGTCACCCCTGAGCCTTTTCTTCCCCAGACTAAACAACACCAGCTCCCTCAGCTGCTCCTCATAAGATTTGTGCTCCAGACCCTCCACCAGCTTTGTTGACCTTCTCTGGGCAATGGTTTCGGGTACCAAATCTATCCCAACAACTCTCAGTATTTGCCTTTCAAATCCCTGTTGCTGTTCATGGCATCTCTCACTCATCTGTGCCACAGTCAGTATCTCACGCAAGGTGTCTGTCACTCCTCCCTGACAGACTAACCTTGCTATGACTGCCTGAACACAGCTGCAGTACTGCTGTTCTAATAAGCAAAATGAAACTCGCTTTGGGCTGGAGACCACACACCCACCACTGCCGCAGCCATTGGCAACCTTCTTAGCTGCACTTGATACTGAGAGTAACCAAGCTGTTGGAGACCATTGCCAGCAAGACAAGGTTCACCCCTTCCCAGCAGTGTTAGGCATGCACCACGAGCATTAGAGAGACATCCTTCTCCTCCTGCCATGGTCCACTGCTAGCCGTGTTACGGTAAAAACTGTCTTTATAGCACTGTGCCAGAACATACCATAGGTGCCATAGTATCCACATATCCTTTCTGCATTTCTACCCCCAAGTGGTTTTCACTTTCCAGACACTGATAGTGCCAGAGTCCCAGTCTGGTATTTATCTCATGCCTGGATGTCTAATCTCAGTTATTCTCCCTTTTTAGTTGGTGGGGAGAAATACTGTGTGTTTTTGTCTCTTTATCTTAACTTTCTTGCGTGTCTCCTCTGGACATCTAGCTATAGCCATATCAAAGTTCACAAAAATAAGCAACACAAGGGCTGTATCTTCTGAACTGCAAAAGGGGAGGAAGGTTAACCAACTAGTAATAGCAGAGTCCAGGGAGATCGAGACTTTCTTCTTCATGTTTTCCCCCATACTTCTGAGCAGTTCCCTAGCAAAATTTAAGCTAAAACATATGTAATATATATTTTATGAATATGAATTCTGGATGACATGAGTTCTGCAAGTCATCACAATGTCCAAGCTCATTCAAATGAAATACTTATATTTAACTTATATATATACATGCGCGTAAGTCACATTTACTAGAGAAAATCTGTTCTAGAGCAATTTGAAGAAGGTTGCATACTACTTTCTTGGGACTTAAGTGTAATTCCCATTTAAAACACAATGTAAAATATAGCTGGTTTACAAGCCACTTAACTTTTGTATGACTATTTTAAGCCTTACCAATAGAAAGGTGAGGTCCACCCCTCTAAGAGTAAGGAAATCTTCTGTCTGTAACCAAACTCCATTCTTACTGATAACAGAATCAATTTGATTTGAAATGCTAACATGTATAGGAAAGCTTTGTGGCTTGGCATGTAACATATTCAATGTGACCTTTAGTCCGAAGAAAATATGTGAGACACAAAAGCAAAATACTTTTGAAAATACATTTATTTAAAAAATTGACAACTGGTTGAATGAACTTTAAGTCAGCTCAAGAAATACGAAGAGTCTTAGAGGAAGCAGATTATTGTGTGCAAATGCATGCTAAATTAATTTATACTTTGTCATTACGATTTATTATAGAGGTTTTATGTCCCCAGGGGTGACATAGCAAAAAACAGAAGAAGGCCAGAACTGATGACAAAGACTCTTAGACATGGAAAAATACTGTTATGAAGATAGATTAATACTGTACTTTAGACCAGACATAAGTATGAGGAAATGGAATGAACGTACACAGGAAAAAATTGGGAAGGTGGATAGAACTAATAGGATTGCCTCTTCTCATCAGATATAAACAAGGAAACATCCATTTAGTCACAAGATAATGCATTTGTAACTGAAAAAGGAAATAGATTTTTTCAACTGTGTAATTACACACTATGTGAATTCATTTCTGAAGAATGTAATTGAAGCTGTATTCAAGAGATAGGAACTTCACTGGGGTAACAAGGACATCAGGTAACACAAGTAAACCCAAAAAATCTAATATGATATATAAGGCTCAGATTTCAAAAAATGTGCTAATTTTCACAAGCTAGATTTTAATAGCATGAGAATATATTCCATTATTTTCTACTGCAGGATTTCTTGCTGCAATGAACATCAACTTGGCAATGACCTCTACTGTAAATAGAATATTAGATAAAGCACACCACTACCTAAACTTTCTGATCTTACATCCCTTTTCTTTTCCACAAGTATTTTCAAAAATTTTCCCTAGACACAAAAGAATTTAAATAAAGTAACCTGAAACAGTGCTGTTCTCTGCAATACGTACATTGGTTAGAAGTGCACTCAGAAGATTGTAAGTACTAAAGTTTCATTGTCTTCAGGAAAGAAATGTCATAATCCGAAGTGGGTGCAGTTCTCAATTTTTTGAGATTTTTTGTATTTTATATTTTGTTGTTCAGAAATAGTTTTTCAAGAAATCTAATGCATTTACAGATTTGGATTACCAAAATCTAATGAAGATGAAAAATTGGGAGATTAGGTTAAAATACTTAAGCCACAGAGTACATGTGTTTTTCTCATGAGAGTGCTTGCCCAGACTGACACAAGAACAGTAAATGTAATCAAATATGCATCATCTTCTGGACTACTTAGTGATCTGCTTTGCAAGAGAAACAGTAAAGAGTTAAACTTAATGAAACCTCCCCAGCATTTTATTTAAATCAACAGTAAAACTTTGATTTCAGATTCAGGCCTCTGCCTGGTGAACTGAAGATCTCAGCCTGAAATATTTTCACAGATAATACTCCATGAGGTTGTAGCCAGGTGGGCGTTGGTCTCTTCTCCCAGGCAACCAGCAGTAGGACAAGAGGGCATGATCTTAAGCTGTGCCAGGGGAGGTTTAGGCTGGATATTTGGAAGAAATTTTTTACAGACAGAGTAATCAGACATTGGAATGGGCTGCCCAGGGAGGTGGTGGATTCACCGTCCCTGGAGGTTTTTAAGATGAGACTGGATGTGGCACTTAGTGCCATGGTCTAGTAACCATGGCAGTGTTGGATCAAGGGTTGGACTTGATGATCTCGGAGGGCTTTTCCAACCCGATTGATTCTATGACTCTATGACTCTATAACTCTATGTGCTCCAAGCAGGCAAAGCCCTCCAGGTAGGGCCCTTTGTTTTGTAGTTCCACCATTATATGAGAAAAACAAAGTGTACTGAGGGAAAAAAAGGGGACTGATTTGCCCACACAGCTTTTCACCAATGCAGCAGTTCTGAACCAAAAGTGACATCTCTGCACTACAGCAGTATGCCAGGCTATAGCAGAGATGGCCACAGTTTTCTTTGGAGACTCAATTCTTACCTACAGTTTTGATCCAAATTTACAGCACAAGGATTCTGAAGAGTGCAAGGCTCACCTCCACATTCTCTCCTTGCTCAGTGCATTGTGAGAATATTTCTCACCAAAAAAAATCCCTGAAAAGACAGGCAGGAAAAAGGGATTGGCATAGAAAAATATTCCAGAAACATTCCAGTTCAGTGCTTGTTCTGCTGGTTAACATCAGCAGTGGAAAGATAACAAAGGGAACTACTCAATGTGAAGGGGGAATCTCAAGGCACCAGTATATGACTCTCCTGGGGCCAATTATTCTTCAAGTATTTCTCAGTGATGTAGTGAGCACATAAGCTCCCACTAGACCATGAAGGAAGGAGCTAAAAAGTTTTAATCAAGTCCTGTTTAAACCACATCAGCTGTCTTTCCCTCTTTAGAGGCAGGTGCTAGCCCAACCATAACCAAACCTTCAACCCCTCTGAGCAGAAAGGGCTGGAGGAAAAAAGAAATACAAGGAGAACAAGAGATTACAGAGGACAAAAAAGGGTTAAAAGTAAAGTGTGTGAGTGTCACGAACTCAAAAATAGATTGATGGGTACTGGAGGAGGGCAGCCCCCAACAACATCAGTCACTCCTGGGATGTTGCTGTCCACCAGCAGCATGAGAAGATGAGGGACTAGAAGCAGATGCTGCAGTTGGCAGGATACCCCCCTTGAGTTTGTGTCTACTGGTGGCATGAAAGGCCACTTTGACTGTAACTGGCAGGAGACTGATGAATAGGTCTTGTGTTTACTGCCCATTGTGTTACAAACATCTCAAGTGAT